TCTATCTTTCTGTCTGTCTCACAATGAGTTTTGGTGCTCAGTTTTCCTCTCCTGTCCTGGTGTTCGGTCCATCTGTTCTCCCTTCCTCTCCCCTGGTGTTTGCTGTTGGACGGAGTCGGCTCAAGCTTTCCAAACGGCAGGTGGAGCAAGTCCAGCATTCCAACCCACCCTCTCTCTCCAGAACATTCCCTACCCCGCACGCCCCTCAGAGAGAGAGAGAGAGACACACACAGACACACACAGAGACGGAGAGGAAGGAAAACAGAGACACAGTGGGAGGCAACAGGGGGAGAGGAGAGAAAGATGTTGACTTTTGGTGTTTTTCAAAATGATACATCTCACTTGACAAAACATCCACAGAGGATTCAGTGTCCCAGCAGCCCACAATACTGAGTATGAAGACTTCCAGGATTTCAGAGTTTTAGATTAACTGATAGTTCAGGCTATAAAATGCTCTTAAGTACTCTCTCTTATGGATGGGTAGATCAATTCACATCTGTCCGTTAATATGAAGCTATATAGCTCAGCGATGGCTTAACATAATGTAATATGTAACATAACATAATGTAAGCAGGAGGGGAAACAGCTAGCCTGGATAGGAAGTCACTGCGCCCAGCCAAAAAAAGAACAAAAGATCCAGCACATTAAGGTCAGGTTATGTTTGATCATACCTAGTTCATACAACTTCTTGTACAACCACGGTGGAAGTTAAAAGTGCTTATAGTTGAAGGCGAAGTGAAAATCGTAAAGAGGAAGGAGACCCTGTATGATTTAAATATGGTGACAACGGCGCACATCTTTCAGACAGTTTCTCCTGGAATTAAAATTGACTGTTACACACAAAAGAGTAAATAAAAAAGCTAGAGAGATAATTTCAAACCCCAAAAACACGGCTGGCCAGTCACAGCATAACGTGGGTGTGAATGAATGACTTTCAGAAAGTAACAGAAATGGATGCAGCCTCCACTGATCTGACATCGGAAAGTTGTGCGTGAAGGGGGTTTCCGAAGCTATTCGAACATCTGACAAGCACTTCTGATTCTGAAGAAGCTTAAACCTCTCAGAAAGCCCCAACTTGTCATTTTCAGTCATTGTTTTTTTGTACGTATTTAACAGTTAATTTGTTCATCAGTGATGCTAAAGTGGTCTTTATGCTAAGCTAGCCATCTCCTGCCTGTAGTTCCATTGTGTAGGATTTAGCTGCATCTAGCGCGAAAAATGCAAACAGCCTTATGTAGAGCCAGTGTTTGTTTTGTCC